CTTATCTTTATATTGAGGATCCCAATATCACTTTTCTTATTTTGTTTGATAATATATTTCTACCGGGAATTGATTCCCATGAAACATCTAGTCTAATAGTAATATCATTTACTATCCACATGGTTTTTACTCTCTTTCTCTCTCCAAATCATGGCATATTCATCAAATTGATGTCCAAATGCATTCCTTCACGGTCATTTAAATGAAATAATGTACACACACCAACCCTTGGTTTTCAAGATATTACTTTTCCTAACTACATATGTCTACTATAAAAATACATATACAGCCTCAAACAAGCACCTGGCGCATACCCGTGGTTCGCTTATTTTATTACTTCTATCACATTCACTCGTAGTACTTGAGATCACTCACTTTTCATATACCACAACGAACATGAGGCTGCTTTCGACATTCCCTAATGTTAATGTTTAACATAAATCTTACCACCTTTTCCCATTCCTTATGACATTCCCTAATGTTAATGTTTGAAATAGAATTTTCCATGAAAGATTTCATTTGTCTTAGTTATATTTTGGGAATCACTGTTAAAACAAATAAAGGTAAGCATTCATTAACTCTAACATGCCAAGTTAATTATGGAACACGACAAGATGACATCTTGTAAACCCTTAACCATCCCGTTGACACCAACGCAAAAAGTTGGCACCACGGTCTCGGGTCCATTTCCCAATCCAACACACTATTGATGTCTAGCCAACTTTAAAAGTTATATCAAGTTTTTCATTCAAAAGCATGTTTATACATAACATCTCAACCATTAGACATCTAAATCATTTAGAGTTCTCCAAAATTCCACCATCACACTATGTTAGCACTCAGCAATTGTGTGCTCACAGTCCTTGTAACATCCCAATAAACTGGATGGCGAGTCAATTTTCAAAAGATGCAACTGGATTTTTTTTAGAAGTTGGCTAAAAAGACACCTTATTTTTCCATTTAAACACCCTATTTGATTTTTAAGATTTTTTTATTGGTTGAATTTGCATTGTTTTTTCAAAAAATAAATTATAAATAGTTTAGGATTGATTGACTTTTAACAAAAATGTTTATAGGATGTTTAAAAAGGTGTCAATTTAGCAACATCTTTTTCTTATCATTATTTAACAGAGAAAAATAAAAGGAAATAGGTATGTGGTTTCAAGTACTTTTGGAAGAAATAACCACGTTGGGCTGAAAAGAATTTTACAACTAAGTTAATTGATATTTGGGCTTTAAAAACAATAATATAAACCGAAATTTTATTAGCCCAAAAATAATACAAGCTGAATAAATTAAATGTAAAGAAAAGAAATAATTAAATTTCTTCAAACAAATAATGGCTGATTTTAGTGGCTAAAAAGTCAAAACTGACTATATCTTATTACGAAGAGGTATGGGAAATTCAGAAGGGTGTGTGTGTTTAAGTGAGCGAGGGAGGGAGGGAAAATAAGAGTAAAAATGGTGCTGATCGGTGCTGCTAGGGCTGGCCACGGCGGTGGTGCGGAGGGTGGGTTGGCAGTGGCTGGAGATGACTCCAGTATGTCCGATTTCTGTAAAAACAGCCCAAAACACTTCCCACTTCTACAAATTTGACATTTTTTAAAGGTAATTTTAACCCAAAATAACTTGGTAAATACGAATAGAATTCTTTGAAACATGCTAGTTGTACATAGGGAATCTGAAAATATATCATGCCGTGAGTTAAAGAGATGTAATAATCAAGCATATGCCCTTTTTTTTAACGCTTGGCCTACTTCGTATATAGATCAAGATAAATACCAAATGCCTTTAGACACTAGTCATAGTCGAAATGTTATTTTAGAGCAATTAAATTTATTAAAAATCAAAACTGAGAACAATGTACATAGTTTATGCGAAACCAAAACGAACTCATATATTTGGTATGTTTTAGTTACATTTTTATTTTTAACAAAAAAATTAGTGGTGATTTTAGTGGCACTAAGCCATTGGTATTATAAAATTTAAAGATTACCAATAAAGTTTAATTTTTTATTTTATTTACAAGTTAGGAGGTGCAGAGTGCATACTTTTGTAAAACGAATTTGATCTAGGTTCAACCGAATGACGGGGTCAAGGGGGCAACTCTTGGTCCATAAATTTATCTCATTTAGGAAAGTAGTATGAAAATTATGATTTTCAGATAGTATTTTCTGATAATTAACTTGAAACGATCATCCATTATTTATGGGATAAAATCAACATTTAATGTCAATTGATCTTATCTTTGGTAATCAAAATCTAATTTCTATAAACCCTAATTTGTGGGCTCATGTCAGTGTCTTGATACATAATTGTTCCTTGAAGGATTGTTTATATAATTTGGATTTCGTGTAAACTAAACACAATGCCGAAATATCATATTTGGAAAGTGGTCACATGATCTTTCAAACATATCCAAAATTCATGTCAATTTCAGAAACATTTTGATCCTTCCGAGCCTAACAAAAATGACACCCTCACATCTTGAATACTACAAATGATTTCTTTTACTAGTTGATAAATATATTGAATTTTAGGGAATATCCTTTGTTTTATGGGGAGGCTAGTTTGGTTATATGGCCTTTTGAAGAAGAAGCCAAACAGACATGTACAGAAGCCACAGTACATTGTCTCTAATTATGGTCATATGGGCCTCATTGCTCATATGCATTAGTCGCATTATTTTAGTCATCGTGTTTTGTTATTATGCCCATTGATTGACGTATTATCGATAAATATGTATATAATTCAATATCAAGTGTTTACAAATCATATATAAAACTCTCAAATTAAAACCATCTAGATGCACGAAGTTTAACAAGTATTAATGTGATGTGGGAAAAGGAAAATGTAAATCTTAATTATTTTATATTTTTTTGAACAACAAACTAATCTATTCTTAAATTACCATATATGATCCAATATGTCTTGAGAGTTCCTTACGACTAGGCCGAACGCATTTTAAGATAGGGTCATTAAACGAACAAAACTACTTTTTGTTGTTTGTTCTTTTTATTTATAAAATGCTCTTTTTGTGATATATCGAGAGTTACAAAATGTTTAACCTTAGAAACTATGAACTTAACATTTTATATTTGGCTTATTTGTTGTGTTGGGAATTAATTCTATGATTCATATCCAACTATTAAACTCTATCAAAACTTAAAGCTTTGAGCATTAAAACTTTAAAAGAAAAAAAAAATGAAGTTGAGCTTCACTAGATAGTGGTGATAATAATCCACACATAATATAACTATATCATGTATTTTTAATCTATCATTCTCTAAAAATATTAAAGTATAAGAACACAACATAATTGTTTCTTATGATTAAATGTTTTTTTTTTGCCTTAGTAAAAGTATGTAAATGTTATCGGAACAAATGGTTGTATTATGGAATCAATTATTGATATGCAATGAATGACAATTCGAATGTTTTTCCTTTTCTGAAACAAAATCAGAAATCATGAAATTGACAACTCAAAACAGAATTTGAATTATTTTTTCTCTCATACTTCTACATGGAAGCTGAGTAGATATCCTCTTCTGTAAAAGTTAGATTCTTCATATGTATTTATCCAAAAAATATGTACTTATTATCCTCATCAAATAAATGTCGGTTTTTTTTTTTTGCTTTTATGAGAAAAAAATACATTTCTAAGAAAACAGAATATGTGTCAATTCATGTACTTTAATGAGTTTCTAAGTACAAATAGTTAGTAAACTTTTTAATAAAATATAACATTTTGGCTAAGAAATCATAAAGAGACCGATAATTACATTTTCGCACTATCTAAAGTTATGTTTGGTGGACTAGCTAAAATACTGGTTGTTAGCTAATGAAAATTTTCATTAATCATTATGTATGATCCACGGAAAAGAAATGTTATTTTGGGGAATTAATTGATCTCAAACTTTGAAATGAGTGGTATCATACAATTGTACTTAAACTTCATTTGAAGTTGAAGAGGATGAAAAAAGACGAAATGGAAGCCATGAGGTTTTGAACTAAACATTTCAGGAAGTTTGGTTTTGTACACTTTCAAAAGCTACAATCTTTTGTTCAAAGCTTCCTACTTGGAACTAATTGGAGAAATAAACATCTATCATAGAATTAGGGCACACAATGATTGAGAGTACACCTCTATATCTGAGTTGGATAGGTAAGAGGGGGAAGACATAGTCGGTATTTCATCCTTCGATCGCATGGTATCATATTGTTGACTTGGGTTGAAAATAATAATTGAAGATTCTATCCAAACAAGTAGGGTATAGACAATAGTCATGATGAAGATGTCTTTTTGATAAACAAGTTGAGTTTGAGGACTTGTGGTGTACAAAAAAAAAGATGTAGCTATTACATGTAAAAAAATGTTTATTGAACATATTTGTCAATTTAATGATAAATAAAATAAAATAAAATAATAAAAAATAAAGTGACTAAATATGTACATGAATAACACCTGGTTACCCTCTTAAGTCTTTAACTGTAAATTAGGTAGAGAATATCGAAGGTTTTAGATACAATATTTTTTAATCATCACAAAGATGGTCATCCTTTAAAAAATGAAATGAAGACGATGTTTAAAAACTAGGTCGAATCGGTTGGTTAGACGGGGCCGAGGAATATAGCAGTTCAACTAATAACGATTTTAAGCCTATTTAAGGGCCGAAACAAACCGTTTAGATTTTACAAAAACCTGATTGAACTGGTTATATCTATTGAATTGGTTTTGATGAGCAAGCGGCAATGTCTTTTATTAGGATGAAGTTGATACTAAATTTCACTTACTAAACAATCGTGAGATTGATACATTTAACACTCCAATGTCTCAAAACCTATAATTTGGTTTGATGATGATATATTTATATTTATAATCCATCTAACTTATATTTTGTTTTTGTATTATACTTTATCAAAAATAGACATATAAGTTACGTGAAAGCCAATCTACTTGGAAAAACTAAGGAATATCCCACTGGAGTTTAGGAGGGTTGATGGTAGGGATACGATTTCAAACCCCAACCGACGTTGATGAATTCTTAACTAAGAAGGAATACTGGTGTACGTGGTTCAAGTACTTCAAGGCGGGGAACAATGTGTCGGGGACTTTTGGAAGAATAGCATGGTTGAAAATTGTTGGACTCCTATTGGAACTATGGAGCGAAGAGAACTTCTCAAGAATTGCAAGTGAATTCAGTAAGGTAATAGTCCCAATAGAGATTCTCCCAAGTTTACAGGGCCTATCCAAGGTAAACGTATGCATACTAACTGAAAGTAAAAAACATATAAATGATGAGTTCGGGGTGGAATACAATAGAAACTTTTTCAAAGTCAGTGTAATTGAAAGTGACAATGATTGGTCACCATTTCCATCCTCTCCATCTAAACTATTTGGTTGATTGGTTCAGAATCAAACCAAGATGTTAATGGTGGGGATGAAAACTCATATAACATGGATGAGAATATGCTGGAAGATGGAGATATCAAAGACAAAAGTGATGATGACGATGTAGGGATATCAGAAACCATCTTTCCAAATGAGCCGAGGAGAAAAACGGATGTTGCAGGCACAGGCGGGGAACCGACGACCTTAGTGGTGCTGTGTGCAATGACGAACGATGGCGATTCTGGATAAGTCCAACAATCGTTTCAAGAAAATCAACAGGCGATCCTTAGTAATGATCACCTTGATAATATGGAAGCTTTAATTGGGGATGTCGGTCATGAAAATGATGAGCATTCCCTAGTAGGTCAAACTCGATCAAACCCAATATGGAATGAAGTTGGACCTTTTGGGTCAGTTGGCAATACAAAATTATCCCTAAAATAAATTGCCGGTTCAAAAAAAAGCTAAAAAACCAGTTTGTTAAAACATTGCTAGAAATATTAACAATTCTTTTCAATAATCATAAAACCCGAAAGAACATATAAACTGGAATTACGGAAGCAATTTGCAATAAATCTTACATAACAAGATACACAAGAGTTGTTACAAAACACATTTATTTCAAGTTAAAAAAGAATATCACGTTTATGATCAACCCCATGTTTATTTAAATTTGAAATCACTCAACATGAAGGGGGGAAAAAATCTGAACCACTTCCACATTTTGACTGCGAATCCTCTTCCATCATTTTCTTTTTTCAAAAGAAAAAGGTCAAGTCGTGGCATGACTCATGAGCATGTTTACACATCTTTTACATACACATTAAAATCCGTTGCCATTTAATAACCTTAATTATAAAATAAAATACAAAATTAGAAAGTTGAGCAATCTATGATGTATACTTAGAAGTTTAGTGACATCAACCCTAACCAAAATCAACAAAAATATAATCAATAACAACAGAACTTAATTTAATTTTTTTTCGTTACATATGATAGAAAAAAAATAAAATAAAATCTTATTATGGTGTTATTGTATGAATATGATGTGATTTGATTCATGGCTTGTGGACTTTGTAACCGAATACTCTTGGAACATATTCCTGCAACGTTGTCTTTTGTGGCTTCAAGTGTCCATACGTTAAAAAGAACAAGTGAGGAAACGTTGTCCCAAAAAAAGCTCCATCAAGGTCTTTATTATTTTACATCTTGTTAAAGAAAAACATTTCCACAAACATAAAATATTTATAAAAAGAAGTTAAAAAAGGATACTATCTTGAAACCTGAACTGAGGGGTAAAAATGTCTTGACATTTAGGGCAGTAAATTTTGACACTTGTCTGGCGTGAAATGTCAGATTGACCAACAGGAAGACAGGGTTGACCTGAACAGAAGACTCTTGGACATCTTCCGAATTCTGTGTTCTTGTATTTCTCAAGCTATCATCAAAGATTATTATTATTATTTACTGTATTGATTTTGAAGAAAAATAAAGAATTTTAAATACTTGTTACCATAGCAGCTAATCCTTTTGTTGTCAAGATAAATCTGACATGTATCAGACCATATAGAGTCTCTGCTGCTGATTCAATCTGTTCGATTTGTTCCTCTGAAAAGGAATCACCATGGGAGGATTCAGAGTCCAAGATGAGATCAAGGGCATGATCGTAAAATGGAACTTGGTTGCTTAATCCACATAGATTAAAATCATCTTGGATATAGTCATCATCAACTTCACAGAAGAATTCATTGCCACGTAGACTGCAAAACCATGAAATCCAAGATGTTTCCTCCCCATCTGAACCACTAACATCTGATTCCTCCTCCTCGCTGTCTGTTTCTGATTCCTCCACCACTTTTTCCTCTCCTACATATCCATAAAAAATTGTTATTAAAGGATGAAAATCATGAATGCACTCCATTGTCAACCATTCCCATAACAGGTCTGCAACTAAAATCAAATGGACGAGCTGCTTAATCTACTTCTCATGTTCACAGACATACATAACATAACAAACAGATTCATCTCGTTCTTCATATTCTATCATCCAAACAAAAGACTGCAATTTCACATGAAGAAAGCTAGCTCATTCGGTTACCAAAAGCATACAATCGTACAAATAAATGGCTAAAATCACAAAGTATAACCTACGAAATCGGCGTTTTTAACAATGATATTGCACGAATCTCGAGAGAGAGGGAGAAAAGAAAAACCTTTAGTCGGTTTCTTATCGGGATAAGATGAAACAGAGAGCCTGGAGTTCCCAGCTGATAAACGGTCTTTGTTACGATCTCTTCCATCCATACGTGATCCCCCTTCGCCTCCAATCGAAGCCATGGCCGTTTCTGTTTTCGCCTTCGATCCTCCTCCACCTCTCTCCCTGTACATTTTATCCTTCTTCCCTGTCTCTATCTCGTTGAAAAAACAAAGCCTAATCCTTCAGCAGGATGTATGATTTGAGATGGAGAAATTAGGGTTTTAGGTGTAATTGGTGATGGAAAAGAAAGGAAGTAAAATTCATTGTCTCATTCGGAAATTGACGTTTGAGGGGTTGAGTTTAACAAGTGCGTTTATATGAATATGATGGCGTCGGCGGAGGGATTATACCGGCGGGAGCACAGAAGAGGTAGGGAGGGAGAAATCGTATCGTGTGCGAAGTTCGCCCTAAGGAGGATTCTTGCAAATTCACGGACATTAAGAAATCAGTCGTTGGGTAAGTCAAGAAGTCATCTCATTATCGTTAGTGAGATTTCTAATCACAAAATTACTAAAAATGGAAACCTAACTACTAAATAATTAACTTATTTATTTATTTATTTTTTAAATCTATCTAACATCAACTTTTAATTTTATAATAGTGGTCTCACAAAGATAGCTTTTTCTTGACAAAAATAGTTTCATGAATATTTTCTGAATTTTATTAATTTTGCAAAACAACTTCACATATAAATGCATTGATTCTTGGGATACGTGATTTCATGAATAACTACTGTAATTTTACAAAACACCAAGAAAATTAAAGCTGATAATGGATCGAATTTGATTGGATTCGAGTTCAACCAACTTAATTCAACCAAATCCTGGTTATTTACATTGGTTGATATGTTAACAAAACCCAACATTTTTATATTTTTATAAGGTTGATTTGTTTATATATTTTCCAACCCAACCTAATAATTATATGGGTTAAACATTGATAACCCAACCAAACCTTTCAAAATTTGTCCTTTATATCGTTATGAAGCACTGTTTTTTTTTCATTATCATTATTAAGTACATTTTTTGTACAACATGTTAAATATGAAGCTTTAAGGACATTCGAATACATAAGAATGTAATAAATTGTGTTTCGTTTTCAATTGAATCTGATACTCTAAATATCGCCTTATTCACCAAAATACAGAATTCGAACAATTTCTTATTTATACATATAAAAGAGTTAACAACTTCAAATAAACTTATAAAATAATCTTAGGGAAAATGACCTTTGAGGGTAATAAAGTGTTCTATAAGTACTCATTTGGTTCCTTATCTTTTTTTTTGTCTTTATTATACCACTGAACTTACTAATCCTGCTCACCAAAACCCTCGATACCGGTTATCACCTGTTATGCCGATTATCTCATTTAAGTAGAGATGACATGTCGTATTACGTGGACCTAGACCACGTTGCAAACCCATTACTCTTTCACCCCCAATTCTCCTTACAGTTAGGGTTTAATCGAAGAATACAGTTACGAAATTGAAGAGAAGTGGTGAATGCGAGTGTTACAGTGAAGAAGATGGCCTCCGATTCCAAACTCCGTAAGTATTTGACAGTTTATGTACACTATAATGGTTTATTTGCACCAAAACCATTAGTGTACTTGAACTCTGTTGTTGTTTCAATCGCTGATGTTGATTTTGGTGGAATGGATCTCAAAGATTTTAAGTTGTTCATTGAAAAGTTGATTGAAGGCAGTTGCGATAATGTATATTATTGCACTAGAAATGAACCATTGGCAGAGGGTATTAGGAGAATTGGGAATGATGCTGACTACTATGAGTTTATTGAAACGGGTTATAGTGATGAAGTTGGTCTAACAATGAATGTGTATATAGACCATGAAAATGAACCTGTACTTGATTGGGCTAATATGGAAGTAGTAGAAGATGATGAAGGGCATTATTCTGAGCCAGACGTGGGTGATGATAAAGAGTCACAACTTTCTGATGATATTCCATATGAGCATGAAGCAGATGGTTACATTCCTTCTCTTGACAAAACTGTTGGTGATGAATTCTTACACCGGGTGTCAGGTATTTCTAAGGATAAAAATGATGAGCTTGAAACTGATGAGGTTGAAACCAACAATAGGGATGACAAACCAGTGTACCCTGTCCATAATGAGAACCAGAAATGGGACAAAATGGTGCCAATTCTAGGTATGAGATTCTCTAACCCTATGGAATTGAAAAATTGTTTGACTAACTATGCAGTGAAGAATGGGTACAATCTTTATTATGAGAAAAATGATAGTCATAGGTTATTAGTGAGATGTTGTAAAGATAGCAAGAACCCCTCTTGTCCTTTTAGACTGTGGGCTTCCTGGATGAGTAGTGAAAGGTCTTTCCAGATTAAGTCCTTAGTTGATGACCATAATTGTTCAAGAGTCTTCAAACTTGGTTCCATTGTAACATATAAATGGATTGGAAAACATTTTAAGAATCAATTTTTGAAGAACCCCAAAATGAGCATAAGGAAAATGAAAGCCAAAGTGAGTACAAAGTTTAACTTGATTGTTAGTGTGACTCAATGTAGAAATGCTAGGAGATATGCTTTGGATGAGATAGAGGGTAGCTTGATAGAACATTATGGTAAAGTATGGAGTTATGGTGAAGAAATAATGAGGACAAATCTTGGTTCAACAGTAAAGATAGATGTGGATGTCATGCCCGATTCCACCACTTACTTTTCTAAAATGTATGTTTGTTTTAAGGGTGTGAAGGATGGTTGGATTGCAGCATGTAGGAGGGTAATAGGGGTAGATGGTTGTTTTTTAAAGGGTATATGTAGAGGCCAACTGTTAGCAACTATGGGTAGGGATGCAAACAACCACATCTTCCCTATTGCATGGGCTGTGGTGGCAGTAGAAAATAAGGAAACATGGAAGTGGTTTCTTGACCTCCTACTAGATGATATTGAAATGGGAATTGGTCATGGATTGACCCTCATATCAGACCAACACAAGGTATATTTTCTTTTATGTTTTGTTTGAGTTCAATGTTTTTTGTTATGTCATCCATTTCTTGTTTCTTTTAGGGATTGGTAGAGGCTGTCAAAGAAAGAGTTCCAACAGCAGAGCATAGACAATGTGCTAGGCACATCTATGCTAACTTCAAGAAAAGATTCAAATGTGAACAATATAGGAAGTTGTTTTGGGCAGCCGCTGCAAGTACTACTCAACCTAAATTTGAGGCAGAAATGAATTACATAAAAACAATTGACCCTTTAGCTTATGAACACCTCATGGAAAGGGACCCTAAAAGTTGGTGCAGGGCATTCTTTGAAGTGGATAGGGCTTGTGATGCTTATGAGAATGGCATATCAGAAAGTTTCAACTCTGTTATTGATCTTGCTAGGAAGAGACCACTCCTCACCATGTTGGAAGAGATTCGGATTTATGCAATGGAGAGGATGTATAGAATGCTGCTAGAGGGACAAAGTTGGGGTAATTTAAAAATATGCCCATCTATAAGATTAAAGATATCAAAGTTAAAGAAACAGCAAAGGTATGATATAACTTGTATTTTATATGTATTAATATGTCATCTAGTAGATTAATAGAATTTGTTATTTTTGTGGACAGATTTTGGGGAGTTATACCTTCTGGGGTACAAAAATATGAGGTTAGGATTGGAAATGATGGATATGCTGTGGACCTTAACAACAACACATGTGGATGTAGATCTTGGCAAGTATCAGGTATCCCATGTGTGCATGCAGTGGCAGCCATTTCATACCTCAACAGGAATGCAGAGGATTATGTTACACCATGGTTCCATACAACCATGTTCTTGACTTGTTACAACCATACCATTAACCCACTTAATGGTAGTTCCATGTGGCCTGAGGCTCCCTACATGAAGCCATTGCCTCCTCAAAAAAGAAGGTTACCAGGAAGGCCAACCCTTAAAAGGAAAAAGGATCAATCTGAGATGGAAAGCAAGGGGAAAAGAAGCCCATACTATCTCAAAAGCAGGTTCAGTTAATAGATGCACTATTTGTAGAGAAAAGGGCCATAATAGATCAACATGTCCTACTAGACCAGCAGATGTAGCATCCACTTCAAGGCCAAAAAACAAGAAACCTAAAAAAAATGTAAAAAAGAGAAAGGTATGATATTAAAACAATATAATTTAAATGGAACATCCAACTCATTAACTACATATTTGTATAGCAGGTAAAGTGGATCCAGTTCAAGCAGATCCAGTGGATCCAATTCAAGTACCAGCTCCAAATGTTGAACCAATTCAAGCAGATCCAGTGGATCCAGTTCAAGTACCACATGTTGAACTAGTTGATGATCCAGCTCCACATGTTGAACCAGTTCAAGTAGATGATCCACATCCAAATGTTGATGTCCCTGCTCAACCAGTTACAACTAGGAAAAGGATACGAAAATACTCAGAAAGAATTACCAAGATAGGGTTGAGGAGGAAGGTTTTGAAGAAAGAAGGAAGCACTGGACACAACCCAATGGTGTTGGAATGATTTTATGTTTTTTTTTTTTTTTGGAAAGACAAACTTTTAATCTTGTAATTATGTAATTGGGAAAACTTTAAGAATCATGGCACATGGCACATCTTTTGACATATTAGGACAATTGTGGGCACAACTTTTGTAATAGTGCACATGCTGATGGAATATTACAACTTTGTCTTTTATCTATATGCTTTGGTGTACGGTTATTTGCATATAGATTGTTTAATCTTATATTATCTATCATAAATCAAGTAGATTTAGTATTAATACATTAAGCAATGTTTGATGATGTTGTTGTTAATCTGGACCATTTTACCCTTGGATCACATCAAGACATTAACAATTGATTACTGCCAAATTTAATCTGGACCATTTTACCCTTGGATCACATCAAAACATTAACAATTGATTACTGCCAAATTTAATCTGGACCATTTTACCCTTGGATCACATCAAGACATTAACAATTGATTACTACCAAATTTAATCTGGACCATTTTACCCTTGGATCACATCAAGACATTAACAATTAATTAATGCCAATATTTAGTCTTAATACATTAAGAAATGTTTGATGTATCCAATGTGGTTAATATGGACCATTTTACCCTTGGATCACATCAAGACATTAACAATTAATTACTGCCAACTTTAATATGGACCATTTTACCCATGCGTCATGTCCAATTCACTAACCTGTTAAACACATTAATACTTCTTGGAAAGCACTCAAAACATCAAACTATCATTAATCAAAAAGATTTAGTCTTAATACATCAAACAAATTACAACATTAAGGATTACATTTAGTCTTTGAATACAGCTAAACTAACTAGTTCTTAAACACAAACAATAGAAACAACACAATCATCACAACTTTATGAGTAAATAACTTCCATTTGAGTTTTTCAAACTCTTGTCTAACAACCAAGTTTTCTTGTTCCATCTTCATCTTACAAATGTTGATCTCGTTTTCCAATATAGAAACTTTGAGAGTTAAATTGCACAGTTCTTTTTTGTCCTTCCCAGAATTGACTTCATTTTCAGGGGTTTTAGGCTCCAACCATTCCCAGAACTTGCATTTTGGTCCTTCATTCTTGAAAAAAGTAACAAATTGGTTAAAGAAAGATGATTAAACAAAAAGTAAAAAACATTTGGGTCGTGAAGAAGATTAAACGAAAAGTACAAAACATTTGCTTTACCATGGAGTTAGGGCACAATTTGAATTTTTTTCCTGGATTGTATTTAGTTCGTGAAGTTCGTACACGAGATGGTAACCCACAATAACAAGGATTTTCAGGTTGAAATTCAGCATTTTGTTTGGAAGAAATAGAAGAAGAAGAAGAAGAAGAAGAAGAAGAAGCATCCATATCGATCTAGGGCAAGAACGATGCAATACTGCAACTTTGCAATTAATAAGCCCAGTTTATTGCACATAATGCCACGTAATATCTACATAACTAGTAACCTACAACAACCGGTATCAAGGGTTTTGGTGAACAGGATTAGTAAGTTCAGTGGTATAATAAAGATTAAAAAAAAAGATAAGAGACCAAATGAGTACTTATAGAACACTTTATTACCCTCAAAGGTCATTTTCCCATAATCTTATATCTACAAATCTGCCTCCAATCAAATATGTTTTAACTGTATTTTATAATATCTATCCAAAATTATGTTGCTATTTTTTTTTATTTAATCCAGGCTTTCTGCAAAATTGTGCAAGTTTGCAACTCCTAGTTGAGTACATATTAATAGAAAATTGTGCAAGTTTGCAACTCCTAGTTGAGTACATATTAATAGATAAATGAGATAAAAGACAAAATGGTGGATGAACCAAAATCGATATGAATATAAAAACCATATAACTAAAATAACTATCCAATTTACACATCATTACAGATTAAAGAAACACACCCAAAAAAGCAGAAATCTACCAAATTTGAAAGAAAAAAAAAAAAAAAAAAAAAAAAAAAGTATGGGAGGAGGCTTTGACTTTTCAAACATCAGCAAAGTATTTCTCTTCAGCATCATAATTAGCTTCCTTCATCCAATGATCATCCAATGTCTCATCTTCATCTATACTCACGTAATTAAAATGTTCATCATCTTCACCTGCAAGAAACTTCTGTTGCATCACATGTGTAAACTGATCCATTCGATCTTCCATCTCTTCGGTTGATAATATACTTGTAGCTTCTGATGCTTCTGCATTGACTAAATTACCCTTGTCATCTGGGAGAACCTAAAAGAACAAACACCAACCATGTTCAAGAATCATTTTATATCAATAATCAAATACAACTTTAAAGATTATCATCATATTCTTTAAAACCCAACAATAATAGAAAACAAATCACAAGATATTTCAATAAACATAAAGAAAAGAATTACCTCACGTTGATGCATCTTTCCATTAACATTATCATCACCATCATTTCCTTCCTCCATTTCCTCTTCCTCTTCTTCTTCTTCCTCCTCCTCTTCTTCTTGTTCTTCTTGTTGTCTCTCATTCCCCACCCACTCTCTTTCATCAACACCCAATCTCTGCTGTTCCCGCCTAATTTTCTCCACCAAAAGTGCTTCCTCAGCCCTCCTAATCAATGTCTCTGACCACCTTTCCCCAGGTCTAGCCATGCGTCTTCCACTTTGATCTTGAAATTTCCCCACAAATTCATGGTGTAGATAAGGTTCTCTATCCCTCATTGCATCCTCAGAGAAGAATTTCCCATCGAACATCAGTTTATCCATGTATGCACGCCTCCGATTCTTTATCTTTGCAGATCTTGATTTCAAATCCTCGGATGTTGGGTTAATCAAGCTTCGGAGATGATTTAGATGCCAATTGATTTCATAATCATCACTTAATGTATCGAATTCCTTAAGCTCTTCCAATGTTAGTAGTGATCCATAGCGCTCTGAATATGCATACAAGATGAATGTAAATTTACAATAACAACCTTTAAAGCATGAACAAATTTCATAACTAAGGTTATACAGATAACCAATGCCTTAAACTAACAACTGTAATATATCAAACATATTACATGAAGTGAACAAACTTCAGGGTTTTGTGTCTATAGAAGTGAATTCGTAAAGGTAACGAATGTAAACTCTAATTCGATATTGATCAAGCAATTAAAAGTAGAGGAGAAAAACAATTGATCGGGTAATACTGAAATACAAAATTTCAAGAAAGAATTAGAGATGGGTAATAGGAAACTGAAATTACCTAAAAACACAGGGACGTCGCGGGAGTAAAGATCTTGGAGGATAGATTTACGTTGTGAAGGAAGGAGAGCGGAGGATTGTTGAGCCCTAGGAAAGTAGAGGTTCTCTAAATGAGACAATCTCTCCATCGTCGATTCCATTGAAGCGCTGTCTCTGCTAGTAGTAGTATCTGTCTTCTCCGACATGGCTACACCGGTCTCCTCCATCTGCAATTAACCTTGCTCCGCCTTAGAATCGTAGAAATAGATTATGGAAGTCGGTTTGGGGCGAAACGGGTAATTCCTTGATCTAAATGAGTTTACTGGCGCTTGGAGGCGTAGAAAATCACACATTAGACTATAATAAAGTTTTTTTTTTTTTTTTTTTTTTAATTTAGGAAAAACATTTTTTTTTAAAATAGTTCAAACAATGTTGTTTTAAAATGAACCTAAATTTTTAATATAAAATTTTCTGTAGTTTTTTATATTAGACATCTATAAAAACCATTTTCATAACAAAATATATATATATATATATATATATATATATATATATATATATCATAATTTTAATATGTAACAATGACAAACAAATCTACAAAATAATAAAATTTTAGGCTTTTATTTGGAATTTATTTATTTATTGTAATTTTTTTTTGTGTGTGTTAAGAATTTTCAATGTTAGTGATGAGGGTTTAGGTTAGGCAATTTCTATAATTTATTTATATAAGGTTTAACCTCCACCATTAATCAAAACAAGTTACTATTTTTCATTGTATCAGAGTTCTAAGTTAAAACCATACTACTGATCACAACCTATAGTCGGCATCGTCCACCTCCGACGGCCTTTTCTAGTAGTCGTCGGAGGCATCTTCTCTATCCGATCCCCCCCCCCCCCACCCCCACCCCCACCCTCATACCAAAATGGAATGTAATACAAATAATAATGATGATGAGAGATAAGATGTCTAACATGAATGTTACGTTTGATGATATGTATTTAAATACAAGTTTATAATTGATAATTCGAATACAAGCTCTGTTATTCAGAAATATAAATTTCAATAGAGAAAGCTTTAAGAGTATTCAAGTTTTACACACAATAACTATGCTTTATTAATAATGGGCAATGCCCTATTTATAGACTTTTCAAGAGTCTGATACAAACCGATTTACATTATTGCAAAACACAAACATATATTTTACATTATTGACAGGTACACTATTACTATTCTTACATTATTGATGACATATAATTCTTAAACATCAGACAACTATTTATACCCCTTTCTTGAATCTTTTCTCTTCTTTCTTTCTCCTCCTATAGTATTGTTATATTGTTTTCGATAAAGTCACCCCTTATTATAAAAATGAGCAAAAGCACGAATAATCTTTTCACGTTTGAGATTTTAGCCGATTATAAATACTCATCCAGTTGTATTAATTTTAAATAGAAAAAAGACTTTTTAGTTGTTTTTTATAAATAATGACATTTCAGATTTTTTATTGATTTTGTTTTGTAAATAAAATGACTGACAATCGACACTAAATAATGGTTTCTTTGTCTAAGAAACCACAAACCCTAGCACCAAGACTGATCTCCCTCTCTCCTCTCTTCCTTTGGTTGACGTTACAATGAGAACCCTTAGCCTTAGGGATTCTCTCCCTTTTATAATCCTCCAAAATCTAATAATGATAGGCTTCACAATCTCATCGTAAAACTAAAATCAGTTTTTTTTACCCCATTTAACCAAAATTTATAAAGCACGATTGTATTAGCGACACAGACATGTAAGAATCACAAAACTAACTCACAAGATGCACGGATGTCAATACGAGTGGTGGAGACCAGAGACATTGATAACATTGCCGATGAACTTGTTACAAATTTGTAATGATTCATCTTTTGATCCTGTTGATTTTGAAGTAGTGAAGGAAAGGCATTGGATAATGATTTCATTGAGAAGAAAAAAAAAACACACATTAAGTTTTGTTGGTTTATAAAACCATTCTTAATGAGCATGGGGAGTTTGGAGAATCAAAAGGCAAGGTATTTGGACAACATAAGGCTTCCAAAGATGCCCGAATAAAAGGGTATTTGGACTATGAAATCTTGTACAAGAAAACAAAGGAAATCTTATATGCAAGTGACCCTAGAAGCAGGATTTGGTTATGTAATTATGATGGATGAAGATGCAAACTTATTGGTTATCTGAAGAAGCAAGCATATTGATACACTTTCCACAACAAAACAAATACTAGTAGAAAAAATAAAAAGTTAGATCATTCAATTCATTACAAGTACATAATAATATGTTATTATCAAATATTCAAATTTAAACATCCAATTTCCCTCATCTGTTGAGCTATGCCTACAAATATATTATATATATAATATATCCTGCTGAAAATCAACATGCCCAGATTTCAAAAGAGGCATTTTTGGCCTCAGGGCATTCTTCCATCTATATATAATATGGTCTTAAACTTAATTTAGGTAAATCTTTTTTCATGATTTGTTCAAGAAAGAGTTTCATATTCATAGTTGTTGAACATGATCAGTTATTTCTTGTGGGCAAGATTGTGCCTGTAGAAGCTCCAAACGGGTAAACGGTGCAGCAAATTGCAATATGTAGTCTTCATCTATTATATACCAAAACAATAAGTTAACAAAAAGACTAAAATACCCCTTGATAGAAAATACAAAAAACAAAAAAATCTTACTCTCTTTAACAGTGCCATAAAGCCAGCATAAAACCTCATCAGCAAACGCTAAGCATACCCCTCCCTGTTCATCAATCAGATTCAAGACACATAAATCACATATAATGTTTTTTAGGAGTTAGGAGGAGGGGTAAATAGGTAATTTAAGATTACCTGCCAATAATTTTTCATTTTGACCCTATGTGTTATATCTTTTGTTCTTAATCTCTCTGTACGTACAAGCCTACCAGAATCATCCCTGCAAAGAAAGAAACAATTTATTTAAATCTTATTTGCTAAACATAATATATAATATATTTTATATATATATATATATATATATATATATATTTTATATTAATTAACAAGACATACATACCTATATCCAATGACGATATAAGGGACACCAGCAAGAAAAGACTGGATCTGTAATTTTATAAATAAATAAATAAATATTCCCAAACAAAGATATTATAAATACCCTTGAAACTTTCAAAATATACCCTTAAATTTTTATAATGTATTAGAGCTAGAAATAGAATAATATACCCAAAACTTGAGTAGCTTTTCCCTCTCAAATCTTTCTTCAGTGTGGTAATCCAACTGCAAATTTATACCAAAAGAGTCTTATCTTTTTTATCATTTTGGGCAATGAGGGATGATTAAAATTTTCTTTTTTTAAAAAAAAAAAAATCAGTAACCTCACGACTTGTTTTCAATTCCACATAGAATCTCCTTCCTTCATCAGTTGAATCACAGCAATCCATTTCAGCACCCATTAAAATCCTGTGTGCACCTAATTTGGTTTTAATCACAGAACAATATTCAACATTTGCATTCACATCATGTATCCCTTCTCCATCATCTCTTGTTGGATCTTCAGTAGCAAGTGTCTCAAAACAATATCCCCAATAACACCTAAATTCAATAAATAATTAAATAAATATGTATTCTTCAACACCCTTATAAATTATAATACTAACATTCATTTCAAAATCCAATAAGCCAAATGCATATTCTTATAAACTAACACAATCAACAGGGTTTAGTTTTCTCAATGTTTAACAAAAAAGATTTATAGAAGCAATAGATTTATAGAAACCCTTTTAAACACACACACACACACACACACACTTAATAATAATAATAATAATAATACCTCCTACGATCGAGCTCACTTTGTGGCCTTTCAGGCAATTTATGTACATCAAGATACACAACACCTTTCCTTTTATGAACTCCCATTTCCCATGGCTCATGCCTCAAATAAGCAGTTGCCAATATCTGCAAATAAACACTTTGTACACTTTATTCATTGCACAACAAATTTTAAATCTTTTTTATTCCATAAGGAAACAAATCTCTACATGTATGTTGATGAGTCATAAAGTTTGACTAAAAGTTGTAAGAAGTTACCTTGTTGAGGTTGTTTCGATAAGTCTGTGAAGAAACAAATACATAAAGTTAGTTTCTTGAAAGATAATGTGAGGCAAATAAAGAAACAAACACTCACCACAAAGTGCATATTTTGTAAGGGAATATTTTTGCTTCGAATGCAAGCAAGTAGATCACCAAAGCCCTGGGATCCCAAATCTAGAGCCAATATAAGAAAAACAACAAAAGATCGGCTGCAAAGTAAATACCTTTACATAAAAACCCTATAGACTATAGCTATAGAAAACTTAAAATCATTACTATATATATCTATATGCAACAAAAAGTTGCTAATTTTTAATTTAATTACCTTTCTTCTCGATAAAAGTATCAAAACCTTGGTTTAAATCAGCACCTACATCTTCGGTAATAAGTCTCTTGAAAAGCCTCTGAGAGTGTAGAACAAAGTGTAAACTTTTATCCTTTTAATATATCATATAGTCATTGAAATTAAGATATAAATAAGACTCACCAAACTACTATCATCAAAGTAAACTTCTCCACTTTCCACACGGCTATAGCAACCAAGTTCAGAGGGCTATATGAAAGTGAAACCATCCAAAAAAATCCTTAAATTGGAAAGTATAACAATTTATATTACAACTATTTCAGAATCAAACCTAGCAACATTCATGAATGTATATAACCTAAAAAGAAACATGTGATGAGATGAGACATGTATTACCTCTTGAAATGCTATGACTTTCCTTGATAATGTTTCTTCACTCTTTGAAAACTTGAGTTCAGAAACAAAGCGTTCATCATTACGAGGGGCATAAAACTTAGACCCATATCCGTAATTTTGCCTCTGTGCAAAAGGTCCAGGGCCTCCAGGCCTAGGAAGGATGCCAGCTCCTCCTCTGTCATTTTGCCACCTACCACCACGCCCAAAACCACCTCTGCTTGGGTTGTTTGTGTTACGAGGTGGGGGTTGGGGTAAAACTGTAAATTCACATGGTTTAGAATGTAAAGATTAGGTAAAGTGGATGAAGGTGTGTATGCATATTCCATATGGATATGAAAAGAAATGGGAAGGTCTATCGAATTTCATAAAGTAGAAAACTTTTTCAAATTCTTTATCAAATCCGAATCATGGGAAGTTAATATTCAAATCATGAAATTGCAGCAAGTAGTGTGGTATTGAAATCAACCTATACCAAATCAACACTGTCTTAAAGCCATATATACAGATGCAACAAACTACCAAATTTAGTAGTCATAATAAGAACTCTGGAAATAGCCTTAAACCTTAAAGTTCCATCATTAACAATAATTTGGCTAAAGAAGCAATAGACATCAATCTTTATTCCTTTGTTTTGCGTAAAATTCATGCTACCTCGGCAAAAGAGCATCTTCAACCACATGAGTGATCCTCAAAACTTGAAAATTTTTACATTACATGCTTCAAAATCAAATGTTTTTCAGTACAGAAAGAGTAAAATGGTTTCAGAAAAACAAACCCTTTAGAAAAGGATAAGTAAAGATACGAGATAGGTAAGTTTCCATGTAATGATTATATTTCCTCCTTACATTCTCCAAAATGAAAAGTTTGAATTGGAATAAATGAATACGGAAAATAAATTGATTACCAGGAACAGGAAAAGGGCTAGCAATTTGGGTTTTAATATATTCTTCATTGTCAGACCCAAACAAATCTTTATCTTCTTCAACAACATTATAATCATCATCATAACCATACTGTTGATTATAATAACTTGACTTCACTTCACCATTATCCTCCTCTTCCTCCACTTCTTCAGCCCCAGCCACAGCCCGACCACCACCATCGCCGCCAGCAGCGCCACCGCTGACAGAACCACCGCCGCTGCTATCACTACCACTGCCACTTCCCGCTCCTCCGCTACTGCTCCGATTGGAAGATGAATATGAGGAAGATGACCCTCCAGATGACGATGATGAAGAAGACGACGAGGATTGTTGGCTATCTTCTTCCTTTTTATGGGTATCTTCGTTTTCGAATTCTAAATCACCGAACAAGTCTACCTCTTGCTCCGATAAATCCATGAATGGGAGGCGTCAGAATTTACAGATTTTTCTCCAAGTGTTGTTCGATCTTTGTTGGGTTGGGTGCTGTGAATTGGAAAGTTTGATTTGTGAAGTAATGTCAGAGGGAAGAGAGAAAAGGGGGAAAGAGTGTAACAATTTTGGGTGTGATTTTGTGAGCCAGGGCGGATTTGCACTTAATGTACAAAGGTCAAGGAGTCATGTTTATCATGTGATTCGCACGTGTTTCTTTATTGGGCCTGTATAAGGCCCAATTACGTTTCTCCTCCGTAACCCAAAACACATAATTTGGATTCGGACGTATTTGCGACTTTGATTGCGTTTGCCTTTCAATTGTTTGACTTTGGCCACAATCTACGTTTCTACGCAGCACAAATGACAAACAAAGTTAAATTTACAACGTTTCTAGAACTTGAAATCCTAAAATTATTTCATTTTGTGCAGGTTGCCACATTTCAATACAATCACGTATAAGGGATGTACGACTTACATGTCAATATCTCAGTTGGAGAGTAGCTTTGATGACAGAAGTTAATCACTTATTGTTGAAGTAGTCAAAATACAAACATTCTTGAATCACAAACTTCACAATCCTATTCCAAACTTTAGCCTCTTCGTAATTTTACAATGTAGTATCTTTCGTCATTGTTGTTGATTATGCCCCGGCCTAAATTTCATGGATGGACATCTCTTGTTCATATAAGTTTTCAATGTTGAATTCTTTTTTCCTTGAAAAAAACACCACATTTCTTGCATTGCGCTTTATTTCGACTGCCCGACACTATACACTAATCATATTTGCACCAAATCTCTAGGTTTTTATTTGTTTCTTTGATGGCAACAGTGGTAATATTGATTTGATGAATGTCCAACACCAACGGAGGTTGGATCCATTGCTTGACTTCAGAGCGTTTTTTATTAACCATCAACATATAATATCTACTTATACTATCAATGAAAGGTTAATATGGACAAAAGAAACCAAAAAATGAGCCTCTAACAGCTCAAAACAGCTATATAGTCGTTAGAAAAAACAAAAAAGTGATAATATTCATCTCTAGAAAAATTGGTTCGGATTATATCGCTAGACCGGTCCCAATTATAATAATTTTAAATCGATGCAAATCGGCATTTCAATTCATCGGTTCATGGTGAACCGATTTTCGGTTGCAAATATGCCCTTAACTACCTAACTTCACTACTAGAGTAGCATCGGGGGTGTGTTTATATATTTTTAAAAAATTTGAGATGATAAGTATGGAAAATAATAGTTATCATTTGGGTTTCCTAAGTTGTTTGTACTTCTACGAAAAAAAAATCCAAGAAATTTTTAGAAAAAATCATCAAACCAAACACAATATTGATTTTTTTTTTTGGAAAACTAGAGAATTTTCACAATCAAATGTAACCACAATTCTTATATTTTTTTTATTACCTACCTATATGATGACAAATTAAAACCACAGTTTTTATATTTTATTTTTTTTATTACATACATACATGACGACAAATCAAAGGATTGCAAATATTTTTCTTTAATCAACCCACAAAAAATTCATAAACTACACAAGCTTTCTTTAAGAAAATAATAGGGTTTATGATGGAGATCTGGATACCAATTTGGATCGTGAGAGTACTTTTCGAACTTATATTTCTACCCTATGTCTGGGTTGTAAGAAATTCAGCCTAGGATAATCTAAGTGGACACTTACGATTCTAGGCACAGAAATCATAAGCCAATTTGCTAGAGAGATTCCATGAGAGTTTGATGAAAATGAGAGCTAAAATTTGTAACCCTCTTCTAAGACTGAAGAGTCGTTTATATAATAAACGAGATTAGGGTTTTATTAGGGTTGGGCCGTCATTAGTTGATTTGGAAGCAAGTCGGGATAATCCGGATTTAATGAGGATTTAGGGTTACCAAAACTAACGATTTTCGTTAGTTTTATCATAATCACCCTTAAGAAATTGAATTTTCCACGATGTTTCCATATGTAAATTTCGGTGAGATTTTCGTTAGTGGGACCCCAGCCAGGGGCTCTGCCCCTTGGACCCGCTAGGGGCGCTGCCCCTAGACCCTGCCAAAAGGGAGCTACCCTTTTGGAAACCCCGGACCCAGGGGCGCTGCCCCCGGACCCCTGACTAGTCGTCAAACCGGGTTCTAATTCGATCTTATACATGTGTGCACTCCGCACCAACCCATACATATATTATAGTACAAATTAAGAAGCCCATTAGCTCACATGTTAGTTCCAGTTACATAAAATGACATGGTGGCACTAAAATCACCAGCACTTTCTAGGGAGATGTAGATGTTAAGAAGGAAGGTAGAGTTAGATCAGCTATGAAGGCCATTTCATTGTAGGCTTGGTATGTTTAATGTTTGGTTGTAATGTTGACTCTTATGTTACTGATAGCATAATGTATCATGTATGTATGACCTTTGACTCTTGAATATGTTAGGTACTAGTATGGACTCTGATGTATTGGTTTAGTATGTAGTGTAATAAATTAATGTTATTGACGGCTTTTAATTCTTTTCTTGTTTAGAATGTTATGTTTAACAAGAAATTAATGTTATTAGAATAGTTTTTATGTATTTTCCTTGGAATGTAATGTAATATTCACCGACAAAGAAACTAACTAAAAGTATAAAAGACGCTTTACCCTTAGTTACTCATCTCTTTGATCCTCATATATTGATCCTATAACAGTAATCTTAAAAGATCTATCATGATGGATCATTGTAAGCAACAAAGTCGACTATACAGCTTCGAGGATTCCTTTGCATCAGACGTTAGTCAATAAGGGCAGCCATAAAGGGGATGGAGTACTTGAATGGACATATAATCCTATTTATTTGATTTAGTATATAATTCATTAACACCATAAGACTGAGTCTAGTCATGGGTAATCATTTATACTGTGCTAGATGACTCAGGCATACCTAGCAGTAGTCTGCTACATACACACCCTATTTGTATGTCTACAACAAACACATCATTTTTGGTTGTCTAAAAGAGACACACCATTTCTGGTTGTCTAAAAGAATAGGGGAACACTAATATAGTATTCATGTATGTAAAACGTACCCCACCAATCATCAATGTCATCAAATAAAGTTTTACTCTCCATTCTCATCTCGCACATACCCTTAATATGATGCTACTCATTATCTAAACTTAATTGAACTAAGTATCTCATCTGGGCCTTATTGTAAAACTAGACAATATTACAATACAAGTAATCAAATTTCCTACCTATGTAATATCTTTATAGTACAGGGTATAACTAAGTACTCTTTCAACTTGAACTAAACATTATTTATAAGTCTTACTCCATCACTAGAGGAAACTATAATGTTTGTAATCATCATCCAAAAACTGTTTTCCTATTTATGTCATTTATTTCAATACAATATACAACTATACTATTAGCCAACTTAATTGGATCTAAGCATCCTTTATATGTCTTAGTTTAGAAACCAGACTATATTGCAATCCTTGTAATCAATTTTCAATATCAACTATGTTTAGACAACAATATCCTAATTTAGTGTATATATCTAATTGCAGAGTATCGGGTATTTAATATTAATCTTTTAAGTAATAACACTTCTATTAAAATTATCACATAATAATATATATATATATATATATATATATATATATATATATATATATATATATATATATATATATATATATATATATATATATATATACTCTTTAACACATATTTAACCACATCTAGTTTGTACAAGGTATTTTATCAAATAAACATTTAACACATATTCCAGATAATAAACATTAAAATTATCACATAATATTATATATATATATATATATATATATATATATATATATATATATATACTCTTTAACACATATTTAACCGTATCTAGTTTGCACAAGGTATATATATATATATATATATATATATATATATATATATACTCTTTAACACATATTTAACCATATCTAGTTTGCACAAGGTATTTTATCAAATAAACATTTAACACGTATTCCAGATGATAAACATTTAATTCACATATAAACTTTCAACATATATTTAATATTTCTAATAAATACTTTTATTAAAATCATGTTCATGAAAGTAACTATACACTCACTTGATTAAGGTTGAAGATTCGTATGAAAGCTAGCCCCAACTAATACTTCAGCTTATCCCTTTTAAACAACAAAGTTTCCAACAAAAAGTCGAAAAATCGCGGACAAGACTTCGATTGTGAATACTTCTTTTTGTCGGGATTTCCAATGTCGCAACACCTCACTAAAATGCTCGAGACTTGGAAGTCGGATCACAAAAGTTTGGGAGAGATTTTGAGAGAGAATGGGTCATGGGTGTTGGTGGGAGTTGGAGCGTGGGGTAGGAGTTTTCAAATTTTTTGTAATTTTGGAAAACACAAGAAAAATGTGGAAAATAATAATTATCAGTTTTCGAAGTTTTTTGTAATTATGGATAACACGAGAAAATTTGGGAAAAGCCATCAAACGAAACACATTTTCAAAACTTCCAACAAAGTTTCCAACAAAAAGTCGAAAAATCGCGGACAAGACTTCGACTGTGAATACTTCTTTTTGTCGGGATTTCCAATGTCGCAACACCTCGCTAAAATGCTCGAGACTTGGAAGTCGGATCACAAAAGTTTGGGAGAGATTTTGAGAGAGAATGGGTCATGGGTGTTGGTGGGAGTTGGAGCGTGGGGTAGGAGTTTTCAAGTTTTTTGTAATTTTGGAAAACACATGAAAAATGTGGAAAATAATAATTATCAGTTTTCGAAGTTTTTTGTAATTATGGATAACACGAGAAAATTTTGGAAAAGCCATCAAACGAAACACATTTTCAAAACTTCCACTTTTCTTGGAAAAGTAGAGAATTTTCCTTAAAAAAACGCAACCATATGTTTTATATAGACCTGACAATGGAGAGGGTTTGGAGCGAATTAACATTAATCCAAACCCTTTTAACAAATTTCAAAATCCGTTCGAAACATGTTTTGTAACCCACAGAGTTAAAATAATCAAACTCATACTCTTATCCACCAAACCAATGGATATCCAAACCTGACCCATAACCTATATATTTTTTGAATAATCAAACACATTTACTTAATTCTTAAAATAACATTTCTTAAATAAAAATACAT